CAGAGCTGTCAGCCTCTGGGTGCAGGTTGACAGGTGAGCCAACGGAATTTCTTTTTCGTTCCTCTTTGTTTGTTTTTGAGACAGGGTCTCACTCTGTCACTCAGGCTGGATTGCAGTGGCACAAACATGGCTCACTGCAGCTGCAACTTCCTGGGCTCAAGTGAGCCTCCTGCCTCAGTTTCCTGAGTAGCTGGGACCACAGGTGCATGCAACCACACCCAGCTAATTATTTAAAATATATTTGTAGAGACAAGGGTCTTGCTATGCTGACCAGGCTGGTCTTGAACTCCCGGTCTCAAGCGATCCTCCTGCCTTGGCCTCCCAAAGTGCTGGGATTATAGGCATGAGCCACTGTGCCTGGCCTGATGGGATAGAATTTTTTTTAAAATAGGCTGGGCACGGTGGCCCACACCTGTAATCCCAGCACTTTGGGAGGCCAAGGTGGGCGAATCACCTGAGGTCAGGAGTTTGAGACCAGCCTGGCCAACATGGTGAGACACCTATCTCTACTAAAACTACAAAAATCAGGCGTGGTGGCGCACACCTGTAATCCCAGCTACTAGGGAGGCTGAGGCAGGAGAATCTCTTGAACCTGGGAGGAAGAGGTTGAAGTGAGCCAAGATGGCGCCACTGCACTCTAGCCTGGGTGACAGAGTGAGACTCTATTAACAAAAAAAAGAAAAAAAAAAATGCACGTTTTAGTTCTCTTTTAAACTGCTGTGGGCATGGTTCTCCTCTTGTACTGCAGTCGCGCTTCTCTTAGCTAATGTCCCACCTGGGCCTCCTCTTTGGCCTGGACTATAAGAGAGCGGAACTTGGGAATGAGAAACATTTTCCTCTCGTGCTTGCTGGCTTAGGCCCTTACAACTGGAAAGGGCCCACCTGGCTCCTAGAGTTTCTAAAAATAGCAAGCTGTCTGAACTTTCCTATAGGTTTGGCTTAGCTGTTCCTCTGACTTCTTCCAAGATGCCGTTTCTGTTAGGGCATCATTCGCTGTGCATGAAAACAAAGAATGGCAGGAGAGAGACTAGAAACGGAACAGGACTAATCGGGAGCCGCTGCGGACCGACTCGAAATGCCCTGCGAATGCAGACACAGTGGACGCAATGGAGAGTGCGTCCCAGGGCCTTTGTCGCTAGTGGAGCTGGGGCCCAGATGCTGCTAGTGTAGACAGGGTCTCTACCCCACCCGATATGTCGGCATCCACTCCAGTGCTTCCAGCAAGAGAGAGCAGTTGGGCTGCTGGTTTAAGTGAGAGGAGAAAGTTGAAAGATTTGCACCCAAGGCCTGTGCCTGGGGTCTGAATTCCTTTGGAAGAGGACTGAGGACTGTTCGTGAGAGGATTTTGGACAACCTGGACACGACCATAGATGCTGTGGAACCAGTGGTGCGCTGGCAAAGGTTTAGCAACCAGCTCTCTCCCCCGGAAAGTGAGTGTGTGGTGCACGTGTGTGCATGGGCGAGTACATATATTTGCATATCCACACACACTGCTTCGGTTTATTATAAATTGTATTGATGTAGGCTGGGCGCAGTGGCTCGTGCCTGTAATCCCAGCACTTTGGGAGGCTGAGGTGGGTGGATCACTTGAGGTTAGGAGTTCGAACCAGTCTGGCCAACACGGTGAAACCCCGTCTCTACCAAAAATATAAAAAATTAGCCAGGCATGGTAGCAGGCGCCTGTAATCCCAGCTACTTGGGAGGCTGAGACAGGAGAATTGCTTGAAACTGGAAGGCGGAAGTCGCAGTGAGCCGAGATCACGCCACTGTCGTCTAGCCTAGGCGACAGAGTGACTCCATCTCAAAAAAAAAAAAAAATTGTCTTCAAATAAAAGATGTGCAGCACACAATTTACAAATAAAAATAAAACTTACAATACCCTTTTTTGTACATGTAATATAATCATTTCATTCACAGGTAGCAGTTTTGTTGATTTTTTGCCCCCAGCAAAATCTGTAATCAACCTATGGTTACAATTGATGAAGGAGTATAATTCTTCAGAAATACCAGTTAATATTTTCCTTTCTAAAAAATTTCTAATTATTTGTTTATCTATTTTTATTTTTTTGAGACAGTGTCTTGCTCTGTGGCCCAGGCTGGAGTGCAGTGGTGAGATCACAGCGCATGGCAGCCTCGACCTCTTGGGCTCAAGCAATCCTCCCACCTCAGCCTCCTGAGTAGCTAGGATTACAGGCACGCACCACCACACTCAGCTAGTTTTTTCTCAAATTATTTGTAGAGATGGGGTCCTGCTATGTTGCCCAGGCTGGTCTCAAACTCTTGGGCTCAAATGATCCTCCTGTCTCGGCCTCCCAAAATGCTGGGATTACATGTATGAGCCACCACACTCAGCCTTGATGACCTTTGTTTTTCATATAATTTATTTAATTGTAAGTTCATATAATTTAATATTTAACAATGGCTGCGTTTAGCAACCCATTCACCTAATTCCTGAAAATCTGACAATCAGCTTTCACAAGCTGGTACAAGCTAACTCCAGCACACCTCTGTGTGGGGACAACATGGCAAAGAATATCACTGAACTGAGGAGGAAGCCATTATCTTCGTATCTGCCCAGAACCCAGGGCATCTCAAGCGCTAAGTAGCGGGAAGCTTTGGGAGTTTACAGAGACGGCACCGTGGGCGCTGCTGTGCTGGGCAGGGAAGCATCTCCAAACGGCCCCAGAGGAAAGAGGAAGCAGGAAGGATGACTAAAACAAGAGACTGGTTCGCGAGGGCACGTGAAATACCCCTTTGGGGCTCCCCAGGAAGAACTGGGGAATCCTGGGGGAGCACTGAGGTTCTAATGGGGAAAACCTCAGCAACCAGTGGGCCTCTGGGTCAAAGCACTCAGTGCAAACGCTGGGCCACAAGATCATGACACGCTTTCAACAACCCATGAGGCTCCTCAGAAGCTGCAGGGCCATCGGGTTGTTACAACTGACCCCCGTGCCGATGGTACCACAGGCCATCAGTCCTTTTCCCCAAGCCCACCTTCATTCCAGCCTCCTCCAGCGCCATCCTGGACTTCTCTAGGGAAGTGGCGGGGAGATTTTCCTCCTCTCCAAACTTCTTTTTTTTTTGAGATGGAGTCTCGTTCTGTTTCCCAGGCTGGAGTGCAGTGGCACGATCTCAGCTCACTACAACCTCTGCCTCCCCAGTTCAAGCGATTCTCCTGCCTCAGCCTCCCGAGCAGCTGGGACTATAGGCACGCACCACCACGGCCAGCTAATTTTTTGCATTTTTAGTAGAGGTGAGGTTTCACTATGTTGGTCAGGCTAGTCTCAAACACCTGACTTCAGGTGATCGGCCTGCCTTGGCCTCTCAAAGTGCTAAGATTACAGACGTGAGCCACTGCATCCAGCCTCCCTCCAAACTTCATCTTACTTTCAGATGAAGTTAAGTGCTTCACCCAGAACTTAAGTGCTCTTCAACCAGACTCATGGAATCTGAGGGTTGCAGAGAGATTGTAGAGCCTTCCTAAAATAATCCCTTTGTTTTAAAGATGAGGAAGCTGAGAGAAGGGAAGTGACTTGCTCAAGGTCACAAAGAAAATCCAGGGTGGAACTGGGTAGGGTGACCAATTGTCCCAGTTTGCCTGGGACTGGGGGAGCTTCTGGACAAGTTGCTCCCAGAGCTGAGACCACAGACTCAGGGCTGACTCGTCCCCAAGGTGGGCAGTGGGGGATTCACAGCCAGTCCCTGAAAGGAAAGGAGGCCTGGATCAGTACAGAGCTGCTTCAGGATGGAATTTTCCAAGGGAAGAAAAAAGAAAAGGCCACATCTGGGTGCTGGGACTTTTGACTCTGGCCTGATGCCTGGAACCCCAGGGATTCCCCACCTGCTGTGTGTTTCCTGGCTCTTGAATGTAACCTGCACCCTCCCTTTCTGTGCCAGGGAGACACGAGCTGACTTTATCTGTCTCTTATCTCTTGGCTGCTGCCAGCCACAGCTGCAGGGATATATATGCAAATAGCTTACGATAATATTAATATGTGATTCCCCCCAGAGGAGGCATGTGGAAAGCGCTGTACGCGTTTCACAATTCTATTTCATCCAAAAACGCTGCACGGGCCCAGAGTGATTCGAAACAGATTTTCTGCAAAGGCAAAATAAAATTGGAACAAAACCCAGTTGAGGCATATGCCAGTTTCCCTGCCCCCAGCTCTCCCCACCTCTGACATATTAACCCTCTTCTCTCATGCCCCCAGGAGCCTCCTACAACAAGGCAGCAAATCTAGGAAATTGTACTGGGTGCTCGTCATTCAAGCCTGGAGCCCCTGCCCCATCCCAGGGCCGCCAGCCCCCACCCTGGCTTGACACATCCTTTAGAGAGTAAAAGGCTGCTTGCCGGTGTCAGCCTGTCACTCCTGTCCCACCTCTGCCTCCCTCCTGCAGTTGATGTTCCATCCACACCTCCTTCTCCTTCACTCCTGCTGCTTGGGATAATTGCAGAACCATGGAGCACAGAATACAGAATCCTGGGGGTGTGCGGAAGAGTTTAGCCAAAGCAGAGTCGGAAAAACCTAGGTCTCTTCTGGTTTCTGCCACTGACGGACTGTGTGACCTCAGCAAGTCAGTTCGCCTCTCCCAGCTGCTTCTCCCAGTGTACAATGAGGACACCAATAATACCTACCCCACAGCGGGCTTACAGGGATTTCCCCAGCGGAGGCTTCAGAAATGCCTACACAGTGCCTGGCTTATCGCAGTTGCACAAGGAATAGCTGTCATCATGAGAATCTCTTAAAGATCACCCAGTTCAACCACGGTTTCAGAAATGGACAAACGGAGGCCTGGAGAGGGCAAGTAACTTGCCTAAGACCACACAGCACGATACCGCCATCCCAGCTCAGACTCAACCCAGGTTCCCTCCTCTGGCCTTGGGAGTTCCAGGTGGCCTGTGAGGAAGGGCTGCCTCCCCCCGTCACCCTCAGCTCCAGAAGTCTGTCCACACAAGGCGGCGTCGCGGCACACATGGGAAGCAGTCACTTCACACTCACCATCGAGCAGGTCTGGACACTCAAGTGCAGTCCCGCCGCCCTCCTTGCAGCTGCCTCACTTTTTCTATTGCCGCCAGCAAGCGTCTGCCCCCATCTGGCCCGGGACTCCCGGACTTGAGCTAGGGCTCGGCAAAGTCCATCCACTCTGGCCACCAGCCGCGGGTCCCGCTCTCTGGGAAGATCGCCTTGAGGACCTGCTGCGCCCCCAGTCTTCCTTCTGGTGCAGGGAGGCCGGTGCCCTGCCGGGCTCTGATAATGCAGCCGGGACTCTTATCTGGCCTGTGTCAGGGTGCAGGCGGCCATGGAGCTGGGGTTCCAGGAAGCCCTCCTGGGGCCCCCCAGCCGGCCCCGCTCCCCCCGGATGCCGCCTGCTGCTCTGGACGCGGCCGATTGCTTGTCAGTGTCACTCCCAGCTCTGCCGGGGGGAATTCCATGCTGGCCCCCCGCAGGCGGGGCCCCCACCCCTTCACGTCCCACCTCCCACTCCCATTTTGGCAAGGGGACTGGGAAAAGGCAGCTAATTTCAAGTTCGCACAGCGTTTGTGGTCGTGTCCTGAATCCTCCACGATTAATCACAGAGCATCTGATTTCTGCTTTGCCTCAGAGAGGGGCGGAGGGGACGCCTGGAAGTTTCTGTTTACTCCGTTCTGCACTAGGCTGCGTGCTAATCACAAACAGACTGGGACGCAGCCTACCCCTCCGAAACTGCTCTTGGCCACCCCTCCCTCCTCCAGCCCTCTCCTTACTCTTCTTACCTTGTCACTGTCCTCCAGCACCTTCCTCACTCTTTCTCCTTTCCCTCCTTTCTTTCCCCTTTCCCATCTGTCCCCCTCTTCAATCCAGATCTGATCCATTGCACACCCCTTCCTTCCGTCCTGGGTTTCCCCCAAGCCCCTTTCCCCCTTTGCGCCTCCCACTTCTCCTAGATGGAGAGTCAGCTTGGTTCTTTCCTTTACATCTGTTAGTGAGGATCAGGCTCTTTTGTTATGTTTTTTTCTTTTTTATAACTTAATTATTTCAGGGTTCGGGGTGGGCGCTCGCCCCATGCCCCGTCACACTGGTGTGTGTGCGACTCCTACAAAGTTAACAGTTTCTCCGGGTCAAGGGGTGGGATCCAAGCTTGGGGATGGGCACAACTTCTTTTGTCCACTTGACAGGTCTCTGCGTTCTGATTCTGCTCAGGGACGAACCCAAGAACAAAGCAGCCATTTACCACTTCCGGAGGAGAGGCCGGACCTGTGGCACATCCAGGGCCTTGGAACACCTAGAGACGGATTTCTCTCTCCCTCCCCTTGGCTCCTTTCCACTCTGCAGCTAGTGTGGAAAAGAAACCAGAAATAAACAGCACCAAAGAACAGGAATGGACACCCCTCCCCACTAAAGCGCACACACAGACTCTGAAGGGTAATTTGGCAAAGATCTCTGAAAACCAGAGATGAGCATCTCCTACCAGCCAGTACATCGCTTATGCCTGTGCACAAGGAGACAGGAACAGAGTGCTTGCTGAGAGCTGCTTATCATAGGAAATGATGGGAAATAACTGAAATACTCATCCAATAATGACTGCTTGAACAAGATGTGAAAGATATGGTACGTCAGGCAGCAGTTTTTTGTTTTTTTGTTTTCTGAGAATGGGTCTTGTTCTGTCACCCAGGTTGAAGTACAGTGGCGTGATCTCAGCTCGCTGCACCCTCCATCTGCTGGGCTCAAGCGATCCTCCCGCCTCAGCCTCCCAAGCAGCTGGGACCACAGACGTGAGCCACCACACCTGGCTAATTTTTTTAAAACATTTTTCATAGAGTCAGGGTCTTGTCATGTTTCCCAGGCTGGGATGAGGCAGCAAGTTGTTTTTTTTTTTTTTAATTATTTTAAATAAAGATGGTGTCTCACTATGTTGACCAGGCTGGTCTCAAACTCCTGGCCTGAAGTGATCCTCCCATCTTGGCCTCCTAAAGTGCTAGGATTACAGGCGTGAGCCACTGTGCCAGCTGAGCCAGCAGTTTTAAAAGAGCTGTGTCTGCACTGAACAGCAGAGGTGGGTGTCCAAGGCATATTACTGAGTGAAAAGGGGGTCAGCAGGATACATTTGGTAGAATCCTGATTGTGTAACATTCCCCCTTTACACACATAAAATGAAACACTGTGGAAACGCTTAGACAGCAAGACAGGCTGGAAGGATGTAAGCCAAACTGAGTTGCTACCTCTGGGAAAAGAGTTTGGGAGTGACGCTTTTACCTGTAATCCTTTCATTTCTAAAAGTGAAAATAGATGGATCTGTTACTTTTGTCCCAACCATCTTCCTTCTTTTTAAAAAATGTGTTTTATTTTTTATTTAAACGGAGTCTCACTGTGTTTCCCAGGCTGGAGTGCAGTGGCACCATCTTGGCTCACTGCAACCTCCGCCTCACAGGTTCAAGCGATTCTCCTGCCTCAGCTTCTCAAGTAGCTGGGATTACAGGTACCCGCCACCACGCCTGGCTAATTTTTGTATTTTTAGTAGAGACTGCTTTTCACTATGTTGGCCAGGCTGGTCTCTAACCCCTGACCTAAAGTGATCTGCCCACCTTGGCCTCCCAAAGTGCTGGGATTACAGGCATAAACCACCGCACCTGACCCATCTATCTCCTTTAGGGACATTGCGCCCCTATGTGGAGAAAATTTCATCACAACCATTCACCTCCTCGGACTAACTAAAATAATTCTACAGTAGGTCAGGTCAGAAATAAACAGCATTCTGCAGGAAACAGTGGCTCATGCTCATGTAATCTCAGCCCTTTGGGAACCTGAGGTGAGAGGACTGCTTGAGGGCAGGAGTTTGAAAACAGCCTGGGCAACATAGTGAGACCCTGTCTCTATTTTTTAAATTAATAAAAGAAAATAATAATAATTAAAAGAAAGAAAGAAACAGGCTGAGCATAGTGGCTCACACCTGTAATCCTAGCACTTTGGGAGGTCGAGGTGGACAGATCGCTTAACCTCAAGAGTTCAAGACCAGCCTGGGCAACATGGTGAAACCCCATCTTTAATAAAAGTACAAAAAAAAAGGCCGGGCGTGGTGGCTCTTGCCTGTAATCCCAGCATTTTGGGAGACCAAGATCACCTGAGGTCGGGAGTTCAAGACCAGCCTGGCCAACATGGAGAAACCCCGTCTCTACTAAAAATACAAAATTATCCGGGTGTGGTGGCACATGCCTGTAATCCCAGCTACTTAGGAGGCTGAGGCAGGAGAATCACTTGAACCCAGGAGGTAAAAAAAAAAAAAAAAAAAAAAAAAAAAAAAAAAAAAAAAAAAGAGGAGTACAAAAAAAAAAATTAGCTGGTTATGGTGGCTCTCACTTGTAGCCCCAGTTACTTGACGGGGCTGAGGTGGGAGGATTGCTTGAGCTCAGGAAGCAGAGTACAGTGGTGCAATCTCAGCTCACTGCAACCTCTGCCTCCCGGGTTCAAGCGACTCTCCCCCCTCAGCCTCCTGAGTAGCTGGGATTACAGGCACAGTGAGATCGCATCACCATACTCCAGCCTGCCAGCCTGGGTGACAGAGTGAGAGCCTGTCCCAAAAAAAAAAAAAAAGAAAAAGAAAAAGAACACACCCCCCACCCCCACCAAAAAGAAAGACAAAGAGAGAAAAGAAGGAAGGGAGGAAGGAAGGAAGGAGAGAAAGAGACAAAAAAGAAAAGAAAATGAAAAGAAAAAAAATGAAAGGAAGGAAATAAGGAAGAAAGAGCAATCCTTAGGGGTAAACCCAGAAATTCTGCAAACATTCTAGTTTGAATCACCTCCGGTTAGATGTCCAGACCCATGAGCCAACAGTGACTTATTCCAGAGTGAAATTCCTTTAGGGCAGCAGAGCCGTCCGAGTTAGTTTGTAGTGGGCTGAAGTCTCCTGGAAATGAGGACGGCAGATACATATTGGAAAGCAAAGTCTTGGTTTCAGGAAGCAATATCACCTACTCTAACTAATAAAACACAAAAACCACTTTGCGGCATTTTCAAGGAATGAATATGAACAAATTCAGACATTATGCAAAGGGCAGTTGAGAAAGCCATTTCATTTCAGCCACTCATTGACTAAAAGTATGGCCGCATGCATCTCACCGACAGGACGGGCAAATAAATGGCCCTTGTGTTCGTGACAAGGAGCTGTGGACAGAATTCTGCAGTGTGCTGTTTTCTGTCCATCACTTGTTAAATGCCTGCCAGCTTTGGAAAAACAGCTGGGGGAGTTACTAGAGAAGACAAATGACATTCCCCACAGCCCCCATCCCCCTCAACCACCACTAATCAGGGCACCCAGCCCTGACCCCATCTTCCAGGGCAGAAGGAAGCTCCAGGCTTGGAGCCTGGCAGCCTCAGGTCTGGGTTTCCAACCCTCTTCAGATGTGGCACAGCCAGACCACTCAGTGTTTCTCAAAGGTGGGCTCCTGAAGGGGTGCCACCCAAGCTGACTTTAGATGACACAGACTGGGCACTAAACACTGAATCTCATAATGAGAAAGCCATTTCGCTGCTATGACCATGCTGGTTCAATGCCACTTGGCCGGGAGAAAGTCTCAGCTTGATCTAGCCTGTCTTTAACACCTAACATTGGCCAATCTCCCTTTTTAACAGAGAGAAAGCAGGCCCCACGCTTATGTCATTCCGCTGCTAACAGCATCTAGCTAGAATTGTGTTTGGCAATTGATCATGGTTTTCCACGAACATTCTATTTTTAAGGTTTTTTTTTTTTTTTTTTTTCCAGTTTAAAAGTGAGTCCACCAGATAAGGGAAAAGCTAACAAAAACCTAATAAAGTATAAAGTTAAATTAACAATAATGTATCCATAATGGTTCATTGGTCTTGACAAAGGTACCATATAATGTACGATGAACAGTTAAGAAAAACAAGAAATCTGTAGAGGGTGGATAGAGCCCTCTGTACTATCTTTGCAACTTTTTTGAAAATCTAAAACTATTCTGAGATAGAAAGCTTATTTAAGGCCGGTTGCAGTGGCTCACTCCTGTAATCCTAGCACTTTGGGAGACTGAGGCAGGTGGATCACCTAAGGTCAGGAGTTCGAGACCAGCCTGGCCAGCATGGAGAAACCCCCGTCTCTACTAAAAATACAAAACTTAGTCGGGCATGGTGACACGGGCCCAGCTACTTGGGAGGCTGAGGCAGAATTGCTTGAGCCTGGGAGGCAGAGGTTGCAGTGAGCTGATATCATGCCACTGCACTCCAGCCTGGGTGACAGAGCAAGACTCCCTCTCAAACAAAAAAATAAATAAAAGAAAGAAAGAAAGCTTATTTAAGTATCTTTAATACCCCCTACCATAAATCCATGGTTTTTTTTGTTTGTTTTGTTTTGTTTTTTTAAGTGTATATATGGAGAGAAATAAAGATAAAGCAAATTGTAGGCTGGGCAAGGTGGTTCGCACTTGTAATACCAGCACTGGGAGAC